GAACCCCAGATAATGAGGACTTGAAGGTTTATTATAGTCCAGATTGAAAATAAAATGTAATAGCCAGCATCAAGCGCCTTTGCACTGATGGAAGAAAATAAGGTGCAAGAAACAACTGATAAGCTCTTAAGCACCAGGCAGAGATGAAATATTTAAGTTTTCATGAAAAGATGAAATTAAAGTACTGACAGTTCATGAGAAGATAAGGAAGGTCCTTAGGCCCTGCAAATTGTGAGTCTGGCATTTCTGGGAGTCAAATATAATTATTTCTTTGCCCTAATGAATATGTGGATTGTATTTATGGAACTAGAATAGAATAGAGCTGGAAGGGACCTTGGAGGTCTTCTAGTCCAGTCATCTGCTCAAGCAGAAGAACCTATGCCATCTAAGACAAGTGACTGTCTAGTCCAAGGAGGTCAAACTGCCAGCCCGCGGGCCAGACACGTCATGTGGAAGCTGTGCCCACCCCATTGCAAGCAATGGAAAAACAGTCCCAATATGTCGCACGACGTCACATGACGTCGCAAGTTTGACATGTCTGGTCTAGTCTCTTCTTAAAAATGTCCAGTGATGGAGTGCCCACAATTTCTGGAGGCAAGCGGTTCCACTGGTTAATTGTCTTTACTAGTCCATTCCTAATTCTGAAACGTGTAAAAAATAAGGTAAAGATGCTTGCAGTATTTCTGGTTTACCAGAAAGCATAAGCTGAAGAGGGGCTATATATGGAGAAATTGGTCCAGAGTGCAGAAATCTTCCATCAATAGTTTTTTCCCATTGTTGCTGGGTCTATATGCTTGGGAGACAAAGCATATTTGCAGACAATAGGAGAATCTAGGAATTTGTGTATGATTCCAGAATCAACAGGGTTTAAAAGTAAAAAAATAAATAAAAATAAAAATACCAGCCAGCATCAAGTGTCTTGGTTGCTATTGTCCCCTTTTTTGAGCTCATTGTATTAAAAGACTACTTTTGCACATTTAGGATAGTTACTTTCAGAGTTACCTCTCATACTACATATGTGATGCTTTTCAGATGACTCCAGGTAGTAAAGTTTACCAGGTTATATTAGTGCAAAATGTCCTGAATCCCCACATTAGAAACAAAGGCCTTGCGTGCATCTGCATTTAGGTTTTTTTCCCTAGCTCTACAGGTCTCAGCTTTCTATAACAAATATGAGTTTGATATCTGAAGACTCTGAACTGAATGAAGGGACAGGGAGGAAGTACATAGAGTCGTGGCATCTCTTTTTCCTGTATATACTATATCATAATTTTTTGAGTCTCTTATCTATAATCAAGTGGTACTGGAATAATTTCTCCAAGATTCCTGGAATGTATTATTCAATCAGCTCATGCCACAATTCATCAGATAATCGTCTTTAAATTGGTCACAATAATTCATTCAAGCTCACCCACCAAGCAAAGAGTTCAAAATCAAGTATACAGTATATGCTTGTACATTATGTTTACCATCACAAATGGCAAATATCATGATTGGCTGTTGCTTGTTTAATAGAGTCATCAAAAGTTGCTGTTAGTCAGACAAAAAGCCCAATTATAAATTCTTTTCATGAAGTCTCATTGAGGAAATCCACATGTCTCAAGGAAATACATAATTTATATTATATAATGAAATCTTAGGTCTTCAAATAAATTTCCTGGAACAATATCACACTGAGACTAAACGAATCATAACTAATAATATGAAGATCATGAGAACAGGAGCCACTGTCCCCTCAGTTGGCAAGCTGTTTCACAGGATACATAACTTACTTAGTGGTCAAAACTATGGCAAGAAACTTGTGTCTGGAATCTCAAAATAAATGTGCTAAATGGTGGAATTAATTATCAGGGTTGGTTGTATTTCACCGAATGTGTGAGAACTCTCACTGTCATGAATGATAAGTATATATCTATGACAACAAAGCTCCAATTAGTTAAAACAATGGTTTTCCCAGAGGCAGTGTTGGCTGTTATAACTGGAGAAACAGAGGGAGAAAGAAGATAGATAACTTCAGATTATGGATTTGGAGGCAGTTTCTAAAAGCACAATGAATTGGCAAGAACACCCAATCAGTTTATTCAAAAAATAAAATAAAAAAAAATAAAGAGTTATTATTCCCTTGAGATAATAGGTACCAGGAACAATATAGGAAATTTGGGGCATGTGATCTAAGAGGTTGATTGACTAGGAAAATGCAAGTGCTTAACAAGGATGAGGGAACAATTATTTATTTAAATTTAGAAAAAGAGGAAGGCATATATATAACATATAACAATATATAACATAGATAGATGGGGTCCTTGATCGAATATCCAAGAATAGTTGCAGATTTTTATCAGGGACAGGTCAAGCCAGGGACAGGCACCAGGAGTCAAGACAGATATGATGGCATAGGATTTTTATTGATGAAGTCTAGGTTAATTAATTCCTTTGTGGACCAGGAATGAGAAGAATGACATTAATTCCTTGCAAAGTTAGACTTTATTTTAGAGTTATTTCCTTTTTCTTTTCTGTTTTGTTTTTAATTCTGTCCGATTTGGTTCAGGAATTTCTTTTTAATTTCATCTGCTCTTTTCTTTATACCCCAGGCAGCTTGGAACAGATAGTAAGTAAATAAAGACAGAACAATTAAGTACTACCAGATGGTGAAAAATGCATGTTAAGTGCTTGGTTTAAATAGCTAAATGTACTCAAATGGCTGGATCTGCAGCAGAGAAGCATCAAAGGGTTTGGAAAAAGAAAACACTTCTGAAATCCAGGCCAATGTCATTGGTATACTATTTAATATCTTGATTCATAATTCTGGGGGAGGAAAAGCGGGGAGAAAAGCTGCAAAGAACAATGTTTTAAGACCTCAGCCTGTATTTTTAATTTTCATTTGACCCACTCAACTCAAAAGGAAAGTAAATGAGAAACGTAACACCACTGCTGAGTTGATGCAGAAGAATAAATCAAGAACAGTAACTGGTTTATTAATTTAGGAGAACTGAATCATTCAGTGGAAAAAAAATCTACCGATTTTCTGGTTTTGTGAGAATACTAGGGCATAAAATAGAGGGACAATAATGCATCATTTATTTTCCTTGGACATAAAATCTCTTTGTTTTGGTTATTTAATATGCAAAAGAATGTTTGCTTCCTTTACTTATGTCTATATATCTGATAGCTCATAAGTACCTCATTGTATTTATGAAGGACACCGAAGATAGATTTACACATACAGCAAAATGAGGTATTAGAAATACTAAAGAAAAATTCCTTATTTATTCATTTTCAGATTTATATGCTACCCACTTCTTGTGGCTCCAGGGAATTTACCACTACACCTACTACTACTAAAAAACATGTAATTATGAAATGCATAAATAACTTAAATAACTGCAAGACCTGACTACAGGAAAAAAAATGTTTTACTTCTCTTCTAATAAAAAAAGTGAGGGCGATTTCAGGTTTAATGGCAAATTATTCCATAGTTAGGGGCCTGCTGAAGAAAAAAGGCAGCAGATTAAATTGCCAGATATCTCTTAGTAAGCCTACAAATGATGTCCCACTAATGACTTAGGAGAAACTAGACAGAAGCCAGCAGTCCTGTACATTTTTTGGGGGGGCAGGGTATGTGTGTCCAACTCTGATAAGACTTAGAAACAATGGTGAGTATCTTAAATTCAGAAATCAACCAACAAACTGTTTAAATCTGGTAGCTCCTAGAAGTACCATTCAGATGATAGATAAGGTTGGAGCCTATCATGTTAGCCTATAATGTTGCATGTAAAATGTGATGGATTGAAGAACAGCCTTTTCCAGTCTATCCAGAGACAGTGCAGCTGATCAGAACCAGATGGACAAGAATGGTATAGAATCATCTCTAAATAGTACCCTCTTTGCTCATTCAAGATTCAATTATGAACGCACACCAGCAGCTTCGCCATCACAGATAGTTAGTACTCCTCCCTTCTCTGCCAGTGAAGAGGACTTTTAAGAGGTTACAAGTGCAGTGAGGAAAGTCCTCTTAGCACATTTTACTCAGTATAATTATCTTTTGCTTGGCAGATCGTTGATATTCCTCCCATCTTTAAAAAAACTTATTTTCTGTTATGAAATTCTTTATTTTTAATTGCTTGCTAATTTATGGTGGAAAGGAGAAAGGGAAGGTAAAAAACCTATGCTAAAAATAGGGCTCCCCCTCCCCCGAAACACCACTTGAACAAAAGCTTTCTAGTTACCATATAAAATATCTTCCATTCCTCAGGCTCATTCCCTACAATTATGTACAACTTTTTTTTCTTTTTTTCAGACTTCCCTTTTATCTCAGTTTAAGATGCTGTTTGTGACCCACTATGCAAAGCAATTTTTTTTTTCACGATCACTTTTTCAAAAATCAGGTAATGCTAGTAAATTGCAGGAGCCTTTATTTCCTCGCATTTTGTTTCATTTCGTTTTATTCCTCCTCTTAGAAAATCATTATAGAATTTAAAACACCTATGGATGAATCTCACAGAGCACGAACAGTGATCCCTTAAGTACCCTTAGTCCATTTTTGATGTTTTACTGCTTAAAAAGAATGGAGCCTCACTGTGGTACTTATGGTGGAAACAGTACATAGAGTCTTCTGTTAAAGGACCCAGGAAGTCTTCTGGACCTAGGTTTTTGCCCTAGAAGATTGGGATTTTATCTACCTATTAGTGCAATATTTCTTAAAGTGTGACCTGAGAACTGCTGGGGTCTCCCAACATCCTGTCTGCAAAATCAAAATTATTTGTCAGATCTTGAGGATATTTGTAAAAGTTTAAAACAATGCCCCTTGCCACATTATTATTTTTATTTGTTAAAAATAGTTTCCCCCCCATAAAAATATATTACTTTGTTTAATATCTAAGGCTGAGAGAGAGAATGACTGGCCCAGAGTCATCCAGCTGGTTTTCATGCCTAAGGTGGACTAGAATTCACAGTCTCCTGGTTTCTAGCTTGGTGCCTTAACCTGTTTGTTTTAAAACTGACTTACATATGTTGGGACATACAGATGTGGCTGGAGCAGTTTATAAGTCCAAATAAATTACATAAATTCATGTAGATAAATATTAAAATATGAAAGATGCTTGTTTATAAAGTGACTCTTACTTGTTTAATAGGTGTTCGAAGACTGCATTTGTATCTACCTATTGAAAGAATAATAACATGAAGAAGTAAAGGATGTATGAGATTAAATACCTGCAGACTGCTTAACAAATGATTTGGATTGAACAGGGACTGTGAGATATCATCTTCATTGCTTAATGTATTTATGAATAAATATATAAGAAATGTTTGTAGTCATAGATTATATAATGCAATAAGATGTATGGATCTGAAAATTAATGTATCAAAGAACACGATAGTTGGGTTTGAATGGAAGATTGGACCAAATGATTGCAAGTTATATATAAATGGGAAAAAAAGTATACATGAATTGGTGTACCTCAGTTGAATATTTATTAAAGGTGGGGGAATGGAGAAATTTTAAGATATGCAAATTCTGATAATAAGTAATATGCGGTCTATAAGAAGAATGAATAATTGCTGAAAGAAAGGAATATGACTACTTCAGTATATGAACTGAGAAATAGTCACATTGTTTAGGCTAGATCAGTGGTTCTCAACCTGTGGGTCGGGACCCCATTTGGGGTCGAATGACCATTTCATGGGGGTCGCCAAACAACGCAGTCCGCCATTTTTTTCCCCCTTTCCTTAGCTGTGCTACTCCCTTTTATTCTATTGGCTTTTGAAAGCCAATAGAATAGACTCTCTTGAATAGAGTCTAATTCTATTGGCTTTCAAAAGCCAATAGAAATTGTCCAGGCTTTCTGTGCCCTGCTGAGCCAGCCAAAAGTCCCATTCTGCAAATGGTGCTACAGTTGAGTAGTCCTCAACTTACGACCGGTTGAGTAGTCCTCGACTTACGACCGGTTGGGGGTCGCAACATTAAAAAGGTTGAGAACCACTGAGCTAGATGGATCTAGTTAATAAATAGATACAAATATGCAACATTCATTAATATTAAATAAAATATTATAATTATAATAAATAATATGGAAGAATCATCCACCATCTAGTACCCCCAAAAGGAGAGATTATTTAAGAAGCTTAATCTCTTGTCTTGCAAAACTGCTTGGAATTATATTGATTAAAATTGTAATGCTTTTCTTCTGATCTAAAGCATTACAATATGCAAAATGTACAAATACAATTTAAAAGAACAATCTATACACCACCCAGTGACATACTGAACAATGAGCCAGGCTAGATATTTTTTATTTCATTTAAACCTTACTTTTCTATTCCTGTGAGCAATGAAGGCATCTAACCTAGTAATTATTAATATTACAAACATACAATATTTAAAGATTAATGATAAAATAAATACTAACATATACAAATGGTTCAGAGTTGAAGATCAGGTGATGATGAACTGCATGATTTTTGGTGAAAACATCTGACTGGTCTACACCTGCTCATTGCCAAGCAGTTTAACACCATACTGCAAGGAGGTGAAATTCAAGATTGATTAACATCTGGCAAAACTCATCTGATAATGAAAGATCCAATAAAAAGAGCAGCATCAGGCAATCAAAGGCCAATTACCTGCTTACCACCAACTTTGTGATTGCCAACTATTGTGGTAGCTGATAGAGTCCAACAGCATTTAGTTGAAAACAAGCTCTTTCCACCACAGCAGAAAGTAAACTAAAAGCCCTGCGTAGGAAGACCAGAAAAATAGTGATAATGCATCAGACCCTTCATCCATGCAGTGATGTTAACAGATTCTATTTAGCAAGGACCATGGTGGGCATGAAATGTTGCAAATACACTAGAGACAGTTGAAGAAGAAAAAAGGGCATTAGAAGAATATCTGAAGGACTGAAGATGCATTGAAGCTAGTATATCATAAAAGCACACCAGAGAGACCTAACTGGCCTACAAGAAAAACCAACTGAAGAACACAAAAGAGGCATGATAAAGTAAAGTATTACATTAAAAAAGATTAGCAGGCAAAGCACATAACAAGACTGGCAATGGTTAAGAGCAGGAAAATTGAAGAAAGAGAAAGAGGCTCTAATTCTGGCCTCTTAAGATCATGCCTTAAGAACAAATGCATACAAAGCTAGAATTGAGAAGATAGCCATAGATGACAACTGCTGCCTCTGCAAAGAAGCTGAAGAAATAGTGGATTATCTAGTTAGCTGCTACAAGAAGATAGCTAATTGACTAAATACAAACAATGGGATGACCAAATAGCAGCAAAGCTTTATTGCAATATCTGCATGAAATACCATTTACCTCCTCTATGCAATTTAGCAATCAGCACCATGGATCACACACTGAAGGAAACCAACCATCAGTGAAGCTAGTGAAGCAGAGTTATTACATGGGCTTATCAAAGCCTGCCCATTACCACTCACACCACCACATTTTGGACCAGTTGAAACTTCCAGGTAGTCTTCAAACATAGTCCTATGTAAAGAGCATTGCAGTAATTAAGCTGTAAGGTGATTAGGGCATGAGTGACTAACTCCCCCAATTAAGAAAGGGTAAAGCTGGTACACCAGATGGAGTTGTGCACAGGCCATAGCTGATACCTACTGTTCAAGCAGCAGCTGCAAGTCCAGGAAGATGCCAGATTGCCTACCAACCTTGAAGGAAGAAGTACTACCCCATTCAAGAAAGTACTACGCCATTCAAGATCAATGATGGAATATTCCCTGATCTGGGTGCCCCAAACACAGCCACTTAGTCTTGGTAGGATTCAGACAGTTCTTCCCCATCTAAACCCACCCAGCCACCAGGTACAACAGATATTCTTTATAAATGTCATCATTGATGTCATCATCATCAGCCAATTCAGTCGTGTCTGATCCTTGGCCATTCTATAGATTAATATTCTCCATGCCCCTATATCTTCTACCATCTCCTTCAAATCCACCATGGTCATCCAGGTGTCATCCTTTATAGTGTACAGTCAACAGGTACTTGGGTGGACCCTTCTCATTTTCCCACTGATCATTCCCACCATGAATGACTTTTTGAGCTTGCATGACACAGCCAAAGTATGATAGCCTTTGTTTGGCAATCTTGGCTTCAACTGATATTTTTGGTGAGGTTCGGTCTGTGACTTCTTTGTGATTTCCGCAGTCCATGGGATGTATAATAAGAGTCACTGGTTGACACTCTCCCACATATATGTTTTACGGTTTGTTGTTTTATTTGATTTTTAGCTTGTTTTTAATATTTTTGTTGCCCTTGTTTTTGGTTATTTACTGATATGTACTTTGTTATTTTTTTTTGTTCTTAACTTTGTGAATCATCCCATAATACATGTGAGATGAACAGACAGGCAGGCAGAAGCAGAATCACTGAAATTGTAAAACAATTCCAAGACCCAATTGCATCAGGTACTCCTGAAAATTACAACCATCCATAACTTCACAATCATCATCAACAAAGAGAGTAGGGAGGCTGTAAGCCTGTTAAAAAAAGTAATTGCATAGGTTTCTTGAATGGGATAGGATTTGATCAGTAAGTCTTGCATGTTTGAGGTAAGACAAATCAACTCCCTTTAACATGGAACAAGTCTTTAAATCAGTAAGTTCTTAAATCAACCTCTTCCTTCCCATGAATATCTGTAGGAGGACATGACTGTAAAAGGCTGGAAAAAGCAGCTTTTCTCCACCCACTTCTGTTTTGGTTTTCTTTTTTTTTCTTTTTTTAAAGAAGCAGACTGGGAGGACCTGCTTTAGAACATGCAAGCATTTGTCTGCCAGGCAACTCACAATCATGCTTCAATGAACAAGAATCTATTTTTTATTTTTATTTTTTTCTTTTCTCACTTTTTTCTCACTCAGCCAACTAAGAAAAAAAGCTTCAACGCAAGCAAGAACAGGTGGGAGAGGCTGCTGGGGCTGGTTTCTCTCTGTGTTTGAAAGAAATTATTAAGAGAAGCAAGATCCATGTGTGAGGAGGAAGACAGCAAAAAGAAGTTGGATCATAAGGAGATCATGAAAACAAACAGGCAACAATGAGCATCCAAAAGGAAAGGACAAACTATCTTGGGATAAAGAAAGCAATGAGTAAAGAAGCCACTATCTGATAGAGAGTTAAAGCTTGCTATCAAGTGTCTCATCCAGCAGACACCCAGCAAACAATCTCTAAGAACAGCAGAACAGTGGCAGAAAACTGGTAGGATAAAAGACCAGGAAGTCCGGTCAAGTTCATTTAACTTGAAATGATAATTGAAACAGGGCCAGAGAGAATGCAGCCATGCTTAAAGACCAGTCACCAGTTTTGGCAAAGACTGTGTAATAGCTTGGCTTATCAGCAATTTTTTGTATGGATTAAACAGGAACCTGGAAAAGGAAAGAAGCATTTAAGACTCAGGACTCAAAGCTAAAGAAATGTACAAGAGTGCTTTAGTCAAAAGGTTAATAGGAATAAGCCTGAGGGTTGGGAAATAGGATAAGCTAAACATAGGAGCAGAAAATGGGATTAAGACTTTTGTAACTGTTGAATAACAAATACTGTAAACCCTGCAAGGGTCAAACATGGTCCTATTTATTATCTTGCTTTTGTCTGGAATATAAAAATATATATTGTGACATGGGTAGACATTGAGCATATAAGTGATGGCTTTTCTTTAGGGTACTATTTTAACTGGTCCTCCACCCCTGCAGATTTTTATCTCAGCTATCAGTCTTAAACTGACAAGGTGGTGATTTGTTCATGACAACAGAGTCATTCTTCTATCTCCAGATCATCAGCTCTTCATAAAGCGAAAAACACATCAATCTGTTCCTTGTTGCACTGTGACTTCAGTCAGCACCAAGTGGGACAGTTCATGATTACCACATGAACAGCTGCTCCTCAATGGACAATCTCAGTGCACACACTGAAATCTCCCAGGTTAGAGAACTGAGAGAAATCTAGTGCCATCCTAGATCTCCCTGGCTAGGTTGGGAGAAAGATTGCTAGAGAGTTGGGGGTATCTGCAGGAGCAGGGAATCAAAACTATGAATGGCTGGAAGAATATCTAGTCAGTCAGATAATGTTCTTTTACAGTAGATCAGGTGTGTACAACATACAGCCCACAGGCTGAACACTGCCCTTCAAGCAATCTCATGTAGCTTGTCCATTTCTTTTGAAAATAACCAACACAAGGGGTCCAAGCATCACGATAGTGCAAAGGATCCACTGCTGTTTGCCTATTCATTTGTAAAGATACACTGCCTAAAGTCTCCAAAGCCTTCAGGTCTTACCAGCACTATCAGCTCCATCAGTGTTACCCACACTGCTAGATGCCAAAGTGCTGATCGATAAGCCTTTTGTTTGATGAATGTTATGCATCCAGGCAATAAGATTTTATAAACTGTAGTTTGCAGTTCTGTTTGTTGAACAAATCTATTCCATAATAGTTTATTTAATAAACCATTGTTAAACAGATCATGATTTAGTAAAAGAAGAGCAGAACTCTTGGCTGGCTGCTAGTTCAACCTTTCCTGCAAAACCCAATTTCTGCTTCAAGAGGGAGAGAGAAGGCTGTTCAGAGCTGTTCAGAAGGCTGTTTTCTTTTAGAGATGATGGTCTTGGCCACAGCCTAAGGCAGAAACAACAAACAACCATGATGTGGATCCCTTTTTTTTTAATTTGAACAGCACATTAAATTTTTATAGAAAGTGAGAGTCAGTCTGGCTTTTAATTCTTTTCATATGTTGGATATCTGATAAATATACAGTTGAACTCTATTGAGATGAGAGACAGCAAGATAATTTTTCAAATTTTTGCTGTGCCAATATTTCAGTTGATTAAGTCACAATATTTCAATAGCTGTCTCAAAGGGAAAAATACCAGAATAGTATTTTCAAAACTAATCTTGTTTTCTTTAAACATAGACTATAAGGTAGGACCAGAAAAACCCAATTGTACATATATCCACAGGAGTTAATAACTTAGCTATGTGAGTGTATCTTTATATTATTTTTAATTGATTTTTCAGAAAGATAGACATTTACTTTTTACATCTTATATGTTTGTTATAAGGTATTTTATCTATCTTAATGTGTGGTTATTTATGTGTTAAGTTTTTTTGCATTATATTTTTTGTGCTATCGTACATCCATGGGCTTCACAAAGATAAACTATTCCTTAGAAATTGAATCCTAACTCTGACTATTTCTTTTCTACATCGTAAACAAAAAGATACCATGAATGAAAATAAGAGGGAAAAAACTGACTCAGAACATAGAGCTTTTAATGCAGGATAGAGAAATATTTTTGTCCTTCACTGAAAGATGAAATCATGCATCTTGTGTGTCGGGAAATCTTAAGGGTCTCAAAGAATATAATCTCTGATGACATTTTGAGACAAAACATCATGCCCTTGCTAAATTAGACTATAATGAGAAAAAAAAATAAAGTTGCTAGTTTACTGAAAAATCTCACTAGAGATCAATAGGTTTTTGAAGAATATAAACTGTGAAAATGAAACAGCTTCTAAAGTGAGCTTTAAAAATTGCAAGGAAAATTACTATTGGCAAATATATTTTAGAGAAGGCAGTTTTTAAAGAAGTTTATGCAGATCACTGTGTCTATTATATGCCCAGAAAAGAAAATATTAGATAATATTCGTATTTCCTAAATGATCATTGAAGGAGTTGCTGACATTTCTTCCAATCTTAGTAATCAATAGCTGAGAAATCCAAATAATATCTATTTTATTCATTGATTATTGACTAATGTATAACTGATAAATATGCTTTCATATTTTAAGGACATAGTACAATTAATCACCTTTGTAAGAGGAAGTACTACAAATTTTGAAATCACCAAGGAGCTTGCTGGATTGTATTCTATAACAGGCCCCACAATTGGAAGGTAATTTGGGATGAATTACATAACTGTCTTAGAGAAAAACAAACAAACATTGAAGCTTGATCTCAAAAATTTGATGGTGATTGGCACTGATGGGGCATCAGCTGTGAAATGCAAAAGGTTTGGAGGCGTTACATCATATGGGAAATAGCCAAACAACATTGTATTATTCATTTGTTAATTTTGTATAGTAAAATTATAAAATGTGATCATGTGATGCTAGTGGTTGCCTCCATTGTTAATTATATCTGCAATAGTGGACTAACACACAGAACATTCCAAGCATGTCTTCAAGAAACATATGTTGAATGTAATGAGTTAATTTATCACACAGAAGTAAAGTTGTTGAATCAAGGACATGTGCTTCACCATGTGTTACTATAAAAGGGGAAAGAGCAAGTCAACCTATTTTTCAGAACAAAACAGAAGGCAGAACAAGAAGCAATGGATGGAAACAAATCAAGGAGAGAACCAACCTAGAACTAAGGAGACATTTCCTGATAGAGAGAATAATTAATCAGTGGAATGACTTGCCTCCAGAGGTTGTAGATGCTCCAACACTGGAGATTTTAAAGAAAAGATTGTACAAACATTTGTCTTGAAATGGTATAGGGTTTCTTGCTTAAAAAGGAAGGTTGGACAAGAAGACCCTTCCAAATCTGTTATTCTGTTAAAAGACAAAGTAACTAAATTCTTGCAAAAGAATCAAGAACATTCAAAGAGCTCAAAGATGAAGGATGGAACTATGACCTTTTTTTTCTTTTGCAGTGTCACTAGTCACCTAAATAAACTGAATCTTCAATTTCAAAAAAGATCAACTAATTTTTAAAATCTATAGTTCAATAACAGTGTTAAAAATGAAATTGTAAGAGACAATTCAAAAAAAAAGAACCATTTGTTCTCACCATATTCTTTAATGTAAGTGGACTGAGCTAGGGAATAAAATATGGAGAGCATATTAGCTTTCTAACTGAAGAATTTGACAAAAGACTTTGACCAACAAAGAAGAGATTCAATTAAATATAAATGAAAATCCATTTCAAAAAAAAAAAAAAAAAATCCAGCTGAATTGCAATGTCCAGAAACTCATAAAACAAAATTTAAGGACAGCAGTTTGATTGACTTTTACAAATTTTCAGAGAAAGGAAAGAAATTAATAAGCTCATTTAAATTGCTTAGAAACTTTTTTGTAAGCCCATATATACATGAATAAATATTTTCAGTCATGAACATGAATAAGAACAGTGTTCTTCCATCACTAGTGAACATTTGCAAGACACTTTAAGAACATTGACAACTTATTTAACCCCACTATACAAAACCTTGTTGAGAAAAATTGCATCATATCACAGTGTTGTTCTTAAATAAATAATAATGTCATATTCTTCATTTTTCTAGTGATAAATTTTGTTTCTCCTCAAAACTATTTCCTTTTGGCCCATAATTATTTTTAAAGTATCGAAGTGCATGCCTGATCTAGAGGGATATGCTGAAGAAATAGCTGAACTTGGAAGAGAAGGTTGAGTAGCCCATATATTTATTTTAAAGTTATTTTCTGGTGATTTTAAAAATATTTTGGAGCCCTCTTTAGTGTGGTAAAGCAATCCTTCCTGCCTATGGGTGCCAATGACTTTCTGTAACTATGAGGACAATCTTATACTGGCTGTTTTAATCAGCCAAGATGATCAAGAGTCTGATAAACAGATAATAAGCTTCATCTCTCCATCCAACCCTCTTATATCAACATGATCTCCATTTTTCAAGGAGCAGCCTAATGGGAATAACTGAATTTCAAAGAAGTTTATTACTTCTGGGGACAGTGGCACCATTTGACCTATCCAATGAGCTATTTTTGAATGTTGACACCCATAACACTTGCTTTTATTAATCACATTTTGAGGCTGCTGAACTCCTTGATGACTCTGGGGGCCTACATTTCAAAGAAAATGGCACATATAAAAAGTAATGTCCAATTGGGAGAACAGTAGAGGAAAAGGTAGTCCCACATATAACCACATTTTATTTCTGTTCTGTCTACATATGTCCCAAGCAGTATCTGCAGGGGCAACTCTCAATGAAAAAAAAAGTCCTCTTTCAATGGTGTCCAGTATCTGCAGTGATACCAACAAGACAGTACACAATAATGTTAACTGCACAAAAAGTGCAGTTATGTAATTGCATCCTGATGACTGATACAAGCAGATATGCCATTGCATTGGCATAATATGAACACATGTGTTTTAGCCTATGCTTATTCCATGGAGACTTATGTACCCATTCCTGTTCCAGCTTTGCAAAATGCAATCTTGCTAGCATTATATTATCATTGCAGTAAAATACTGAGCCTTGTTTAGAAGACAGTGCAGATCCTGAGACACCACTAAAGATCTGCAACTGACAGCTCAGTAGATGCCAACCTTTTGAATTTTGTGAGCTCCAGCCTTCAATATCCTATAGAGCAGGGGTTTCCAACCCCTGGTCCATGGACCAGCACCGGGTCGTGGCATGCCAGCAACTGGGCTGTGCAAACAAGTGAAGCCCCATCCGTGGGATGCAGGCAGCACACAAAGCCACACCCCCTGTGATCCATGGGAAAATATTTCTCCATAGAACTGGTCCCTGGTACCCCAAAGGTTGGGGGCCTCTGCTATTGAGATCATTTTTCTAGAGCAACTGGAGAGTGAGCAACTGGAAAATTTATGAACACAGATCCCATTCAGATATTACTTCAGCTCAATACAGTGCCAAATATCCTTAGGAAATGTGCTTATGTTCCTATTTGACACCAGTTCATTTCAAATCAATAGAACTTTAAAATATTTTATCTATGTCCTACTGGGGATAACAATGTAGAATAACCCCTTGTAATTACTGAGAATTTACATTTGTGATGTTCAGTTGGTAATAAATCAAGAGAACTCCCGAGCTTTATGACCTTAACCTTTATGGCACTAACCTCTCTCTCAAGCCAATTTGCTCTTTTCTGAACTTTGCAAAACTTTTGCATTAATCTTCCATTATAGTCTCCCTCTTAAAGAGCTATTTGGTTAATTTCCTTCATCACTCTGAACTTTTTCTGGGACCTTTGCCACTGGGGGACAATAAATTGCAGATTAGTTGCCCAAGGTCTTCTGCAATCACTAATAGAGGCGTGTGCTTATTTTCTCCTGCTGAATCAAATCACCAGACTTCCTGCTTTGTAAAAATCAGACTATGTTATGACGGGAGACCATTCTGTGCACAATCTTTTTGGCCAAAACAAAATAAAAACTTTCCACTGAGTATTATACCCTGAAAACATCCTTCTTTCAATCCCATTCGTTGAACTGAAAATACAATCAAAAGAGTAGAAGATTCTTGGTAATAACATTTCTCTCAGAAAGCTTTTCCAATTTGACTTAAGTCCTTCGCTTTCAGTTATGTTACAGACTGAAGTGGCCAACCCTAACTTCCACTTCCCAAAATATTACATTTGTCAACTAATGAAACAGGAATTCATCCTTTGTTTGTTTCTTTGTTCCATTTTTAGAGCACCCCTTCATCAGCACAAAGTACAACAGATAGCAAGTATTTTATTAGCATATGTCAGAAAGTACCAATTTGACCACAAGGGCAAGCAAATTATGGAAATGCAACTTGTCCAAACAGATTGGGATACCAGTATCTTGAGATACCAGTACTGAAAAATGATTGTCAAAGGCAACAGGAGATTCAATCCTCTATAGTAGAGATTCTCAAGCTGTGGATTGTCAGCTCCACAAGTATAATTAGCAACTTTGAAGAAGGTTGAATTTTTTTTAATTGCTCCAGGCATGATCATTTTGCTCAGACTTTTGAATATTAGTAAGCTTGTAAATTGGTTCCCTCCTGCTTTTTTTCCCCTTATGAACCACCAACCATTCTGTATCCTTTGAATTATTTTTATGTTACATCATCTTATCTTGAAATGAACTTTTTAAAAATTGTTTCGTATCTCTTTATTATGGTTTAATGATTAATGATTAATGATTATGGTTCCTTTAAAATCTACCAGTATTTAAAAATGTTGATAAAGTATTTGTAATTTGCTTGGATGAAAGTATAATGTAGTTCGTGGATTGGGATTTTTAACACAAGGGAAAGGTATTTATTTGTATCCCACCATTATTATTTTTACAAATAACTCAAGGTGGTGAATCTCCTCCTCTTATTTTTTCCATAACAACAATCCTGCGAGGTGGGCTGGGCTGAGAAAGAGGATAACTGGCCCAAGGCCAGTCACCTGGTTTTCATGGCTAAGGCAGGATTTGAACTCATGGTCTCCAGCTTTCTAGCCTCATACATTAACCATCCGTTTAACCACTACACAAAACTGGTTCTGTAAGAGGTGACAATTTGAAGCAAGAAACAACTTTGTTCACATGGTACACTATTATCAGATCGTGCCAACCATTAAGATTGATCACCATTTTTTAAGTTCAGTTTTATGCAAATACTTTTGTTTCTCTGGCATCTCCATCAATGTGGAATATAGTAGTAAATTTGTATATTTGGGACTGTCTGTAGAAATATACATCTTAGTGAGGTTCAATTTTTTTAAAAAAATTATACAATTCTATAATTTGTTTGTTTAGTATACCCATAAAAGTTCATTGATAAATGTAAATGTAAATGATAATAATAATAATAATAATAATAATAATAGTGAGAGACTGGGAGAGGTTAATATCAAGAGAGGAATATTTCAAGGAGATTCATTGTCACCATTACTATTTGTTATTGCACTGTTTCCTCTGTCAACAATACTGAATAATTCAGGACATGGCCATCAAAAATCAAAAATATCTACCAGACTATCCCATCTCCTTTACATGGATGATCTGAAGCTGTATGGAAAAACATCATCTGAAATAGAATCGCTGCTCAACACTGTCCGTATATATAGCCAAGATATTGTAATGGAGTTTGGCTTGGACAAATGTGCCACCCTTACTATCAAACAAGGAAAAATAATGAAAACTGAAGGAATCAAGATGCCCCACGAAAATAACATTAAGAGTCTGGATGAGGAAGAGTACTACAAATACTTGGGTATCCTCAAGCTGACAACATCAAGCACACTGAAGTTAAGAAAAAGATTAGAGGTGAAGACATCAAGAGAGTGAAGAAGATCTTAAAGTCCAAACTCAATGGAGGAAATACCATAAAGGCAATCAACACCTGGGCAATTCCAGTCATTAGGTACACAGCTGGAATAGTGGACTGGACTCAAGCAGAACTAAAAGCAATGGATAGGAAGACCAGAAAAATAATGAATCATGCCCTTCATCCACGCAGTGACATTGACAGACTTTATCTACCAAGGCAAATAGGTGGGCGTGGAATGCTACAAGTACATCAGATGGTTGAAGAAGAAAAAATGGCTTTAGAAGAATATCTGAAGAACAATGATGAAGATGCACTGAAATTAGTATATCAGGAAGGCTTACTGACTACTGGAGAGACCAAACTGGCCTACAAGAAAGACCAAATGAAGAACAGAATAGAGGCGTGGGAAGACAAAGCACTACATGGCCAATACATTAAAAAAATAGCTGGGAAAGCAGATAATAACAAGACTTGGCAATGGCTAAGAGCAGAAAATTGAAGAAAGAGACCGAGGGACTAGTTCTGGCTGCACAAGACCAAGCCTTAAGGACAAATGCATATAAAGTCAAAATTGAGAAGACAGCAACAGACAGTAAGTGCCGTCTGTGCAAAGAAACTGAAGAAACAGTGGACCACCTGGTAAGCTGTTGCAAGAAGATTGCACAGACTGACTACAAGCAGCGGCATGACAAAGTAGCAACAATGGGGCATTGGAAGATCTGCAAAAAATATCATTTGCCTGTAAGCAAAAACTGGTGGGATCATAAAATAGAGAAAGTCATAGAAAATGATAAAATTAAACTACTCTGGGACTCAGAATTCAAACAGACAAGCACCTGCAACATAACACCCCAGACTTAACAATTGTCAATAAGAAAGACAAAAAAGTCTGGATAGTGGACGTGGCAGTGCCTGGAGACAGCAGAATAGACGAGAAAAACTGGAGAAGATAACAAAATACAAAGACCTACAAATAGAAATAGAAAGACTGTGGCAAAAGCAAGCAAGGGTAGTACCAATAGTAATAGGCACCTTGGGTGCAATCCCAAAACAACTGGAGCACCACTTGAACACCATTGGCATTGATAAATTCGCTATTAGTCAATTGCAAAAGGCAGCCTTATTAGGAACTGCTTCCATCCTGCGACGATATCTGTAATACCATCAAACATCCACATCTGCCTATCCCAGGTCCGGGGTAAGGACGCGATAGGTAGACAAAATGCCAAATCCAGTCTGAACATCTGGCTGACTGTGCGATGATCCATAATAATAATAATAATAAAGTTGGAAGGGACCTTGGAAGTCATCTAGTCCAATCCCCTGCTCAGGCAGGAAACCCTATACAATTTCAGAAAAATGGCTGTCCAGTCTCTTCTTAAAAACTTCCAGTGTTGGAGCATTCACAACTTCTGGAGGGAGGTTGTTCCACTGATTAATTATCCTAACTGTCGGGAAATTTCTCCTTAGTTCTAGGTTGCTTCTCTCTTTGGTTAATTTCTATCCATTGCTTCTTGTCCTGCCTTCAGGTGCTTTGGAGAATAGTTTGACTCCCTGTTCTTTGTGGCAGCCCGTGAGATATCATGTCACCCCTTGTCCTTCTCTTCATTAGACTAGACATTCCCAATTCCAGCAACCATTCCTTATATGTTTTAGCCTCCAGTCCCCTAATCATCTTTATTGCTCTTCTTTGAACTCTCATCTTTTTTACATCGTGTTGACCAAAACTGTATGCAGTATTCCAAGTGTGGCTTTACCAAGGCATTGTACAATGGTATTAATATTTCACTTGATCTTGATTCTATCCCTCTGTTAATGCAGCCTAACACTGTGTTGGCCTTTTTGACTGCAGCACACTGCTCGCTCATATTTAAGTGATTGTCCACTAGGACTCCAAGATCCCTCTCACAGTTGCTACTATTGAGCAAGGTACACCTATACCAGTGATGGCGAACCTTTTAGAGACTGAGTGCCCAAACTGCAACCCAAAACCCACTTATGTATCATCAAGTGTTGGGTGAGCGTGGCCCATTGGATGGGTGTGGCCAATTGGGTGGGCGTGGCTGTGGCAGACTTGGTGGGACTAAAAAGTTCAATCAATCAATTCCAACTTTGCGAGATCTTTTTTTTCCCCGCAAGAAGTTGAAATTGATTGATTGAACCTTTTTTTTTTTGCACATGGCGGCAGAGACCAAAGCGAAGAGGTTTTATAAAACCCAGCTGAAGGCCTAGGACTGGGCCGACGGTGCGTGTGCCCACAGAGAGGGCTCTGCGTGCCACCTGTGGTACGTGTGCCATAGGTTCGCCACCACGGACCTATAATATACCTATGCATTTGGGTTTTTTTGCCTAAATATAGAACCTTACTTTTTTTTACCATTAAATTTCATTTTGTTAGATAGCACCCAATGTTCAAGTCTGTCAAGATCTTTCTGTTTCTTAAGCCTATCTTCTGGAGTGTTGGCTATTCCTGCCAGCTTAATGTTGTCTGCAAATTTGATGAGTTCCCCATCTATCCCCTCATCCAAATCATTGATGAAGATGTTGAAGAGCACTGGGCCCAGAACATGGTTTACTTATTTTTTGTCCAATCTTATCCTAATGAAATTATTACTTGGATAAAAGTAGTCATGGTTTTGCAAAATTTGAGAATTCATTTTATACTTAGTTTGGCAATTTTCTTTTTCTTGACATGTCAGGGTCACCCTCATCTATTTGTTTTTCTCTTGTGTGTACAGGTGGTCTTGGTTCTTATAATTTTTGGAAGCTCATACATCATCTTTAGTGAAGTGTGCAAACCAGTGCCTGGATTTCCTGCGTCAGATGAGGGGAGCACATCTTTCTCCTTCTGTTCTGGCCACTTTTTACAGAGGTAAGATTGAGAGCATTTTAAGAAACTGCATCCTATTTGGTTTGGTGGTAGCAGTGCCTCAGATAGAAGGTCCTTACCATAGAGTGGTAAGGACAGCTGAGATGATTATAGGAAGCTTGCTTCCTGTTATTCAGGATATTGCTTGCTAGCGCTTTGTGCTTAGAGCTTGAAGCATTGTTAGAGACCCCACAGTTTGTTTCTTTGCTCCCTTCTGGGAGAAGGTTTCAGAGTATTAGTAGCAGGACTACTAGATTTCAGCTTTGTTCTTTATGCCATCCATCTTGAAAATTTGCAGGATTCTTTTTTCTTGCCATGTATATGTATACATTCAAATTAGACTATGTTGTTTCTCTGTGTCATAGGTGTGTGTATGTGGGCATATCCATAATTTTTTGTCATGTTTATGTAGTGTATATTGGAGGTGGTTACCCTTTGAGAGCTGAATGCAATGAAATTTCGTTTTAATGTATGCTGATTAGGGTACGTTTAAAGTGACAATAACCTATTCTGTTCTATTCTATTCTATTCTATTCTATTCTATTCTATTCTATTCTAAGAATTTATACATGTTGTTATAAAATAAGAATGCCTGATCTGAGTTTTTGTAAAGTATGGTTTCAAATTTGTTTTTCTATACTGTTACTTACTGTAAGTGCATACACATACCCTGCACACAAAACTAAATTGCTTTAAACCTGACATCAAATGATGTTGTATACATGCTTTACCAGTCATTCTATGGGTCCTGGCCTTCCATCTTCTTGCAGGGCGAATACCCATAGTACTCTTTCTTTGCTAGATAAGATAAAGACTCAAAACAGAGGCTTAATAAGTAGCTGCCCTTGAGTTGGGTCTGGAAGCCAGCTAGCAACCATCACAGCTACCATAAAAGAGATGTTATTCTACTAATTCAGTCTTCAAGGGCAGACCCATGTAAAGTGAATTACATAGTTTAACTGAAATGAGACAAGGATATGAATCTTCAGTGCTTTCTGGTCCAGGAAGGGATGCAAAAAGACAAACCTCTGAAGTTGGTCAAAGTCTTTCATGACCTCAGCTTTAACCTGTTGTTCCAGCAGAAGTTGTGCATTCAGGAGATCATCCTGACTATGAACCAGCTTCTTCAAGGAAATTGCAAGCCACAGATCCATGGAACCAAATGGGTTCTATACGAAAAGTAAATGTGTTACTCAAATTTGTTTTTTCTCATTTGAAAAGCTTGCAAAAAAAAAAAAAAAGGTAGGACGTAGAATGTAGCATTTCTTTCTGAATTGTCTAATACCAAATGTTGTGATGAGATGAATTTGACAGACACTCCTGTTTTATTCTATAGGGGGAAAAAAAGCCACAGATTTCTCTTCTGCTAATTGTGTCTATTACAAAGAGATCTTGCAATATGCTCACAATGGGAAAAAAATAGCATCGTTCTTTGTTTTTCAAAGGTGGGCTTAATATTCACAGTATTTACAGTTCACAAATTCACAGTAAAATGATGTATGCTAACCTCCGGTGAAGTCCAGTGGTGTAATTATGCCTCTTTTCGTTAGCATGGAGATATAGACAAGTTCAACCAGCTGTCATTTGTTCTTATCCAATTATCAGAATTCTACCAGAGAAGACTCATCTGCTTTTCCTGGTGAGGCAACAATTAGGAAACAAACCTGGAAGAGTCTTTTATTGAACCATGAAAAAAATGCTTCAAAATTGCTTTGCCATCTGGCCAAGAATTTTAAATAGGCTTTCCCTAAATTTTATTTCAAAGGCTTTGCAACAATAAATACCAGGAGGTTTTTTTTAAAAAAATCTCCACGTTGTAGGATGCTTTTATTTGGATTTGCATTTTTTTTTTTAAAAAAGAAAAAACAAGGTGTGCCAATGATTCTCCCTTAATTTCTGCTCCTTCCTTCCTTTTGGATAGAGGAAAATCTTCCCAGATGTTCTCTATGAAGTCCTGATACTCTTGTATAAGAGATTATTAACCTAAAAAGACTGTTTCACAGCTGGCTGCCAGGATGCTAATAAGAGGCCCTCTGCTGTCAGATGAGCTTGATTAGTTTTTATTGGGAAAAGCTTTTATTGGATAGATTGAACTTCATTACAATAATGGTAACAGGAAGTGACAAGGAGACATTGCTAAACATTGTTCTTGAAGATGAACAGATTAAAAGAAAAGAATGTTATCATAATCTCATTTTAACTTTCGTAATAGTGAAAGTGGGGATTAGAAGAATAATGATGGCTAAGCACTGCTTTTTTTAAAAAAAATAAAAATATATTGTAACCTTTTCTTTCTTTATTAGCTTTTCTACAACTGATTATAACTACTGCAGTTGGCAAAGCTGAAGGTGTATATATTTTTATTTTCTTTCAAATACAGAATCAATTCTGATAAAGATAATTATTGAATTTTTAGCCAGCTGACAAAATGAGAATATATTAATCAGGGGAAAATACTCTATGCATTCCAAAACTTTTCTGCTTCACCCATCCTCTTAATTTTCTATAAAACACTTTTAAGAGATAAAATAAACACCTTTCCAATATAAACTACATAGCAAATAAACATAAAACAATTGGAAATGTTTCATTAAAAAATAGAAAAGAAGAAAAAAAAGTATAAAAATACAAACAAATTAAAAGAAAATCTTTTTCATTTTTGTCTCTAATTCTTCACCAAAGCATCTGAGGTTCTTCAAATTTAAAGAACAATTTCAGATGCTTTGGTGAAGAATTTATTTATTATTAATTAATTATTAATTAAATAATTAATAATATTAATATTTAATTATTAATTATTTTATTTATTAAATTTATTGACTGCCTATCTTACCATAGGATAACTCTGGGTGGCTTACAATGCTAAAAAATTAAAACAATGTAAATAAAATACTGTAAAAATATAAATATACAAAATATATTTTCCTTTTAATCTTTTGTCATGAACAACTCAGAAAAATAACACAAGTTTGGTGTTTTTTTTATGGGTTTCAAATGCTATTTAAGTTTCACTAAACTCAGTGAAATCAGTTTTTAGCAATATTTAGCAGTATTTAGTATTTGAACATTACATAATTTAAAGGATAACACAATCTGAGCAACCTTAATTCAAATACTTTCAAGATTTTATATCTGGCATATGCTGATAATCAGGCTGAACTGATAGGGTCTGTGATTGTTACTTAATAATACCCTTAATACAAGTTATTTAGATTTTAGTTTCTATTTATGTGGTTCCTTTATGTCAGGGGTGTCAAACTGCTGGCCAGTGGGCCAGATGCGTCACGAGGGAACCGCGCCCACCCAATTTCCGGCAATGGGGAAAAGCTCGATACATTGCACGATGTCACAAGATGTGAGTTTGACATGTCTGCTTTATGTGATTTCCAGTGTATTACCACAGATTAGGGGTTCCCAACTGGGGGTGCTTGAACCCCCTGGGATGCAAGACAATATTCCAGGGGGTGAGAAAACTTGGGTTTTCAAAATTATAGTGTATATGCATAATAATCGTTGCCATTGTTTCAAACTTTTGCAAGGGGTGCAAGAATATATCAGAAGCAGTCTAGGGGTGCGGGGTATAGAAAAGGTTGGGAGCTGCTGCCATAGATGCTTCAACAAGAATCATAAAATAATATCTTCTAATAATAGATGACTTTTCTGTGATAAAGTTTTGACAGTATTGATCTTTATTTGGTAAATGTAACACATATCAAATGAGATAATGAAACAGTAAGAATGTATGGAAGAAGATGACCCCTTAAAACATATGGCTAGTTTTGAAGGTTATACTGATGTTAAATTTAATCACAGCCGCAAGGTTGTTAGTAGGGCAATACTGGAAGAAGGAATCTTTGCCTACCTTGCAAGAATGGTTTTTTAAAGTTTCTTATTTGGCGGAAATGGCAAAGATTTCAGCTTTTTAAAAGGATCAATCGCAAGAGAAGTTTTTTGCGGTATGGGAAAAATGGATAGATTTTATACAACATAAGTTGGATATAAAAATATTACTTAGTTTTTCAATAACCTATATATAAATTTTAATATTTTATAGATTGTATTTTTTTTCTTCTCTTTCCTTATATTTTTTATTTTTATCTCATCTTATTTTACTTCTTTTTTTTATATATATATCTTTTCTTCTTTCTTTTCTCTTTTATTCTCTTTCTTTTTAAGTAATTTTTTTTCTCTTTTTTTAATATCTATGTTTTTTTTTACATATATATTATTGTTAATTATCTTATAAGCTTAGGTAATGTATTTAGATATATTAATGGTTTATATTTTTTTAATTTTTTTTTAAGATTTTTAGAAATTTTAATCAAGCCTATATTCAGCTCTGGGAAGGTGGGGGGGATGGACTGGGAGGGTTGGGGTGGTTGGGTAGGGTTGTTTTTTGTTTTTTATTTTTTTTTCTTCTTATTTGTAAAAACTTTTAAAAATTTTCAATAAAAAAAAACCCTATGGCTAGTTTTGACATGCCTATTTTGTTTTCTGTCCTTGCCAGATTTCACAAAATAAGGATTAAACAAATGTACAGGACTAGAACTCATAGCTCTTGGATAAAGCCATACATTTGTAAACTGCTCCTATGAAGACATATGAGCCTCGAAGACTGGCAAATTTTGGGGGCTCCCATTCAACAACAAAGCCAGGGTGATCACAGATGCTGGTGGTAGTGTCAAAACAGCAGGTATAACTACATGAAGCTCTGCCCTTTTCTTATGTGGTATTGCATGTGTGACATAGAAAAAGAGGTGGGGCTTCAAATGTGTGGTCATGGCTGCCATTTTGATTTTTTGCGCCTCACCCACTCAAAGATGTCCCTAAACACAAGCATGAAGACAGGCACCTGGGCAGGCCACCTTCTGCCAGAAACCTTATTCTTTTTCTAATTTCCAGTGATAAATTCAAGTGTTCAAATTCATCCCTGCTTTAATTACAGCCACTAAGGAAAGGAGTTTTAAGCTGACAACATAAAAATAGAAAGTTTTAGTTGGGAACAGCTCACAGCCCAGATAGAAGGAAGTCTTTGAGTATGAGAAACCTCCGTAGACAGAAATCCAGGAACCTGAGACGTTGGGTTAGGTTAGGAAAGCAGAAAGTACTGTATATACTGGCGTATAAGGCGACTTCCGCAAGCGTTAAAATCGGCACCAAAGACGGGGGTCGTCTTATACACTGAGTCATCTTATACGCCGGAAATACTGGTAGTTTCCGGCGTATAAGACAACGTTCTAGGAAGGCAACTCGGTGATAAAGACGGGGGTTGTCTTATACACCGGGTCACCTTGTACGCCGGCATATACAGTACTAAAGCTTGCTTCAAACAGGCAGCACAGCATAGCATCTAAAGCAGTAGTTCTCAACCTGTGGGTCGCGAACCCATTTGGGGTCGAACGACCATTTCATAGGGGTCACCAAACAATGCAGTCCACCATTTTTTCCCCTTTTTCTTAGCTGTGCTACTCCCTTTTATTCTATTGGCTTTTGAAAGCCAATAGAATAGACTCTCTTGAATAGAGTCTAATTCTATTGGCTTTCAAAAGCCAATAGGAATTGTCCAGGCTGTCTCTGCCCTGCTGAGCCCACCAAAAGTCCCATTCTGCAAACGGTGCTGCAAGTTGTCTGCAGTGAAAGCGAGCTGTCTGGAAGTTTCCACCCCTCCCTGCTGAGCAACTACTAAAAATGTAAGTAAAAGAGGGCCAGGGGTGGGAGATGGGAGGCCAGTGGGCACAGGGAGGGTTGTTGGCACGCGTGGGGCCTGGCGGGTGCCTTACCTCCCTTGGGCTGGGCCAGCTGGTGGCCCAGCCGGTGGTCGGCCGGCTCCATCTCTGCCGCTTGCCAGCTACGCGTAGGCTGGCGCAGGGCGTAGCACCACACATGTGCAGCGCTCCTGGGCACGGAAAGTCCTCGACTTACGACTGGTTGGGTAATCCTCGACTTACGACCAGTTGGGTAATCCTGGACTTACGACCGGTTGGGTAGTCCTTGACTTACGAGTGGTTGGGGATTACGGCATTAAAAAGGTTGAGAACCACTGATCTAAAGCATCTTCAAGCAGAGATCTAACTAAAGAGATATTCAATAAGCAGACTTGAAACAACTGGTTGTATATCTGGAGTGACAAACAGTACAGGAACTTGAGGCTAGGAAAACCACTAAGCGGGTTGAGCAGTGAATGCTGCCTGGCATTAAATCTGGAAGAGGTTTCATTGCAAGAAGAATGATGTTAGCCTACATGCTGAGTGGAGTAGCTACTAAAATCACTCCAAGGTTAAAGGGTATGAGAATGATGTATGAGGCTAACTAGTAGCATTAAACAAATGTACATTTGCCAAAATGGGAAGTTTCCAATGATTTGCAATGCACATCGTTAACATTTGGATTTTGTCTCTACTTAGCATTTTTTATTTCTATTTTACAACACAATTTTATGCAAATGTTACAGTTACATAAAGCAGTCTATAGGTCTCTAGAATCTGGTCAAATACCGTAATGATGAGTTCATTTATGGTTGAGTTATTCAGCTCCCCAAATGCTGCTGAAAAATATTTTAAATGGTTTCCTTATTTTTGTTGCTCTTCTTTGATTCTATCAGAATTACTCAAGCAATTAGAGAAGAGGTAACCAACCTTTCTCGGTTGGCGGACTGGAGGGAAAGGGAGGGGGAAGCATTTTACACGCGTGTGTGTGCATGGGGCTGTGAGCATGCACGTGATGCAAACAGGGCATGGCTAGCACCCATGTGATACTCACTAGCCCTGCCTCATTCTTGTGTGGTGCAGTGCCCTGTTTCCACGTCCTACGGCATGGCATTGTCCCATTTTTGTACCCTGCAGTGTGGCAGCGGCCAGTTTAGCACCCCAAGGTACAGCAGTGTCCCATTTTCATGCCCTGCAGTGCAGTGGCATCCTGTTTTTTCATCCTACAGTGCGGCATCCCATTTTTGCAACCCAAGGCATGGTGGCGGCCTGTTTTCTCACCCTGTGGTACAGCATCCTGTTTTCGCACCCCACAGCCGTAGCACTAGTGCGAGTGGGTATGTGTGCATGCACACATGCACACACTGGCCAGCCTGTCCTGCATCCCAATACCGGGCCACGGCCCACAGGTTGGAGACCCCTGGATCAGAGAGCTGTAAATGGGCACCTTTCTGTTTTTTCTGGGATTTTATCAGAAAACAGTTTCTCCTTACTGCTTGATGTGTCCATGCTATTGAACACAAGAATAAGTTTCAAATTTTAAATGAATTCAACTCCTATAAATATTATATTTTGTAGCAAATTGCTTTGTTATTTCAAACCTGTCGTACCACTGGTAAAAACACTTGATATGTAATTTGATTATACTCTGCTTCGCAGAATAGATAAATGTTCCAGTGCAAAATTAATATGGGCATATTCATTTGCTTCTCAATCATATTAATGTAATTATTTTAATAGTCTCATGTTATTTCTGATTATTTGCTAACTGCTTGAAAATTAACATACCATATGTCACTCATGATTTCTAGCAGTTATAATGTTGAACATTTACCCATCTATTTATGTCTGACAATTCTTTCACTATTATGGATCTAAACAATTAAACATGGTTTCTTAGCAGAACACAAAATCAATAATTTGTTCATGCGAAGGAGAAATCAGAAGTTAGGATTGTGTTGCTTGACATGGCCATTGGTCATGCTATATTTTTGTTGCAACTACAACCTACTTGGGGTCTCAAGGACACTTTGACTGTGAAAGACTGAAATAAAACATTTCCAGAAATGTAATGTTGCCATGGGAAACATGATCACCATCTTAGTTTACCATCTTATTTTCTTACCTTTACTTTTATTATTATTTTTCATTGCCTTTAATTTATAACAAAAAGAAAAGAAAAACATCAACCAGAATGCAAACTTAAATGATAATTCAAAAACCAGAAGACACCAAAAATAAACAGAAAAAAAGATCTGTTATAGTAAATATATACACAATGGAATTAATGCTTTTTAAATGGGAGTCTTTTGATTTTCTGCTGTGTTGGGAGTAGGCTAGTACATGTGTAGAAAGAGTATGTTACACCCAGGTTTTAAATCAATTACATTAGAGTTTTTCCACTTGAATAAAATGAAGTTTCTAATTTCTGCCCACACGTTATAATTTCAAAGTCTTTCATGCCTTGATATAAGTATAGAGGAATATATTTTAACACCACATTCACATCTTTGGGATTTATTTTTTTTCCTAATGGCCTATTTATAGCTTTATGAATATTAAGCTGAAATGGTGTCAGCATGGAACAATCACAAAACATATGAGTCATTATCCCTTCTGACATATTACACTTCCAACATACAGATATTGCAGTCCAGTCCTTGCTATGCATGAACCAGGGTGTCCAATAGACTTGAGAAAAACAAATGTCAGAGAAATATATGCTGAATACATTTAATATTTTCCCTTTTGGGTAACACCAAACATCACAATGTGATGGCAGCTCTGGGGAAAGACTTTGAGAGAAATATTTTCTCTCTACTGGTAGGATATAGCTGGGTAGATGTTTAACTACCTCTGTAAAGTATTTCCTGTTAATAAAAAATCCTTTTATAACAGAAAGTTATATAGTGTTTTTTCACTAATCATTGTTCAGATTAGATTCTCTTTTCAGGAGCCCTCATGCACATGGGCATTTTTTCTCTGAAACAAAATGTTAGTGAATGGATTTTTTAATGAAATGCTGATATAGTCTACTAAAATAGTATACTTTGTATTTGACAAACATAAAATAATTTCTAGGCTTCTATTAATTCTATTCCCTCCTAGAGGGAATAGCAGCTATAAGATCCAGGTTAAGGACTTAAAAAATAAGTGTTTCAATAAAGATCATAGAACGTGTAATATTTTGCCTCTAGTCCTCCTATGCCCTTCTATCATTGATATTCCAAGAGACTAATCATAATGCCATTTTTCATTAACATCAAATATACATATGTGAAAATGTATATAGATAAACTTCACATAGATATTTTCAATAGTGCCCTTGCTGTATCTGACCATAGGGAAAATTATTAAAACATTAACATTGTTAAAGAGAGTCATTAAAACAAATCTATAAATACTTTCAGAAATTCTGTTTTGATATCATAGTTTTCCTAATTTACTAGAATTTAGGCAGTCTTGTGGCACTGACATAAAGATATGGTTTTCTGAAAGATGAGGGCAAACATTTTAGAATTGTTTCTGTCCTCTAAACTGAAAGGGCATATTATTCTATTCTATTCTATTCTATTCTATTCTATTCTATTCTATTCTATTCTATTCTATTCTATTCCATTCCATTCCATTCCATTCTATTCTATTAATATATGATAGATAGACAGACAGACAGACAGACAGACAGACAGACAGACAGATAGATAGATAGATAGATAGATAACTTTTATTGTCATTTTTTACTGTGGGCACATGAAATTTTGTTGCTTGCTCTCAAAAGTGTACATATACATAATACACATTTAAACATGCTATATACAACATATGTATAAACCTACATATAAATATTAATCACTGTCCATCTTGAATACATAGTGAAAAGAGGAAACTTTAATGTTCACAAGGATAATACTCTATGGAATAAAACTGTGACTAAATCTGGATGTTCTGCTTCAGATACCACGAAGCCTCCTCCCAGAAGATAACAAGG